CGTACCATTTGGGTCTGAAACATGACTTTGAAGTCATATAGACATCTTAGTGCAAGTCCATCAACTAGTATACATTAGACAGAGAAGACCTCCAGGTAAAAATTGGAGATGATTTAATGGATTGGTTATTTTCAGCAAATTTTATTTTAAGCCCTCTTTGAAAGTGCTTTTAATATATCGACTCATTCAACCATCACAGCTCAATGATATTCATGCCATTAGTACCCTATTTTAACAGATTAAGGAACTGAGGCACAGAGAGGTCAAGAACTTAGTCACATGGCTAAGAAATGTGCTTATACCATTACATAAAGTCCATAATTATTTGTCACTCACCTACCAGTTTGAGTCATTTGGTAGATTGCAAAAAAGAAAGCTAATTTCAACCTATTTATACAGTTTGCCAATTAAAAGAACAGAGGATGAAGTAATATAATAAAAGTAGCAGGATTTGAGGTGACTACAACTTTGCTCTGTGGTGTAGGTGCTGAAATTTTGACAGAGAACAGGTCTTTTCCTCCTCACGCTCCTTGTTTAAATGTGAAATCCAGTGAGGAGAGCATATAGTTCTGGAAACATAATGAATTCTAAAATATATTGTAAAGAGTTCATAAAATTTGGAATTATAAACCAATTCTAGCCATTTGGCTTTGAGCAAATTACCCACATTTATTATATGCCTCATTTAATAAAGGGAAATAATAATAATAATATTGTTTCCAAAGTTATTATAAGGATACAGTGAAGAGAATACATGAAATATAATTGTTAAAGGCCAACCTAGAGAAGATAATTGTTCATTTCACTGTTATCACAATAGTACTTGTGGTTAATAAATACATAATTGAAGTTGATAAATACATAATTACTGGGGAGGGTTTATTCATGTCAGAACTTAGGGCAGAATCCTCAAATGACTTGATAAGGCTTGCAGATTTAAAACTAGATTGTTCAAGTGACTGAAGAGCTTCTACAGAAAGCAGTCCATGGAGAGCCTTCCAGGTACTAGAGCAAAGCTGTGATTACAGCTGAACTTAATATTTGGCCCTAGGTTTACTAGTAAAGACAAATGGAAATCCAGTGTATTAGCTATCATTTGAAATTCAAAAATGCAAAACAAATCTACTTATTTGGATCTTTCAAATGGAGGTACCTTCTGGGCACCATGTTATCTGGACAATAACCATTTTTCTGCAAAACTTATGACTGAATAAACGAGTACTATTTAAACTAGAAGCATATAGCAAGCAAAGAAGATGTGTGATTAGCCCTTCAAATGACTACAACCAAGTCTGAAAAACACACACATAAAATAAAAACAGATTGCCTAAATTACCTCAAAATGTGAAAGACCAAAATGAATGAAGTATTTTTTTTTCTGTACTACGAGGTACATGCCCAGGACAGCTAAAGAAAAAAAAAAGAAAAAGAGAAAAAAGAAAAAAAAAAGAGGTAAATGTAAATAATACTGCAATGAGCACAGGGGTGCATATATTCTTTCAAATCAGTGTTTTGGGTTTCTTCGAATATATACCCAAAAGTGGACTCACAGGGTCCTAGGAAGTTCCATTTTTAATTTTTTGAGGACACTCCCAGCTATTTATGGTGCCAGGTAGGTACCTGAAATTCCAGGGTTGAGGGAGGGCATCTTGTAAAGTAGATGATTATCTAAACGATACCATTACCAATCTACCAGGTTGTCTAAACGCGTGCTGTGGGGCCGTTGAAGCTTTAGAACAAATTTATTGCATTAAAGGTCTTAGTTTGCGTAGCTGGTTCTTATTCAACACCTAGTTACATTTCCCTGCTCTCAGTGCCTGTAAGGCAGTGGTTCTCAACCTTGGCTGCACATTAGAATCACCTGGGAATCTTTTTAAAATCCTGATTTCTGGGCCTCATCCTCCGGAAATTCTGTTTCTTTGTTATGGGGTGGGGCCACAACATTAGTAACAAAGAAACAGAATTTCCAGAGGAGTAGGCCCAAAAATCAGGATTTTAAAAAGATTCCCAGGTGATTCTAATGTGCAGCCAAGGTTGAGAACCACTGCTAAGGTTTCTGCCCACTCAGTTATAACCACGGCTGAAATGACATTTTAAAACCTGGGGATGTAAGTACTGAGCCCATCAGTGCAGTCAAGCATCTTACCTCTTGGTCAATAAGAAGTAACCTAACATATTAAAAGAAGTGGATTTCAATATGTCTGAGGACCACGAATTAGCAGAATTAAATTCGTTTTGGGGAGTGGTGGGGTACTTGCCTCCTTGGATTGTTGCTCACATTCGAGGTGGTGGTGGCAGTAATGGTGGTAGCAAATGAATAGTGGTGGCAGATGTGCTAGTAATTATCGCAGTTGTTTCTTGTTAATAGTAGTTGCACCACCTGATTGTTATTTATTTTAATTTTACATAATAGAAGAATCAAGGATTATGATTATTGCTTTTATATACTAACAAAATCTTTTATATTTTTACTTTGTTCTTTGGGAACAATTTAAGACTTCATCTTTGAAATTTAGGAAATTTTCATTCTGGAAAACTTTTTCCTGATGAAAGAAGCAGCAGTTAATGATTCCCATGATTTGAAACTGGGTGTATGGAAGGTGGAGAATAACTTTTTGCCAAGTCTGTGTAGGAACATTCAGTGACAAATATATATATGATTTTAGAAACTAACAGTAAGAATGGAGCATCTGAAATCATCGATGGTTGTGCATTTTGCAACCCTTTTTTTAGGAATTGCTGATGCTTTTCTTAGAGTTGTTTTGGAGAATGAATTTGGTATTGATTTAAAATCACCTTACTCCTTGAGTTACTGCATTCTTTACTCTTCAAATCAAGCAAAGTCTCTTCTAATAGTACCCGGAGAACACAGAGTAGAGAACTAACTATCCAGAGCTACTGTCCCTGAAAGAGCATTTGCAGAGTATCATTTAATTTTTTCCATAAACTATCAGACTTTTAGAATTTTTCTATCCATTTTAATCGTGAAATTACAAAGGCATGTTGGGGAGGATCAGAGAAAAAATAAATCATAGACCTTGAAAAAATAGTTACTCTTCATCTTTATAATGTTAAGGATGTGATATTGGGCTTTGAACTTCAAGTGTGTCTCTGAAAGTCTACAGGGAAATAAAGTAAAAGTAATGGCTGCATCACTTTATGTAACATCTTTAGTACATTTGAGCTGTGTAAATGCAAATGGACAAAATTCTCCTCAAGGCATAGGAAATTTATTTTGAGAGCTATTACTTATCAAATAAGAAACAAGATGTAATCAACAATTAAAATACATGTTAAGACTTTCCTAATTAAAATATGTGTTTAAGGTAAATAGTCAGAATTAAAATATGCCTTTAATAAAAATTTAAAAAGAAGTAAAGGAGACACTGCTAGAAAGACAAATGAATTGCAAAGTCAGTAACTACAGATTTAATTCTCCAACAATTCCAGTTTATAATTTGAAACAATAAAATCACAATATACAATGAAAGCTTTATTTGGATCATGAAGTGAGATGACAAAGGTTTGAACACTTCTAGAAGTTTAAATCCTACCGAATTTTATGTTTTTTAAATCTTGCTTGTTTTATCAATTATTGTGAAAATTAAAACATGATCTGCAGTACCCCCAGATATCTAGTTAGCTTATGATTGCCTAAACACTACAACTGCATTTTCACAAATAACTTGCTCTGGATTTTATTTTGTAATAGTGTGTGTGTATGTGTTTGTGTGTGTGTGTGTGTGTGTGTGTGTGTGTTTGCACATGTGTGTGCTCATTTGCATATACGTTCTTAATTGTGCGTTCCTTAGCTTAATGTCAAAATGAGTTATCATTTTGAGGAGCTGACTCTCCTTTTAGACCTAAGGCTTGGAGGCAAGAAACTAGTACAGGATTAACAATTTGTCATGGCTAATCCACAAAGTAAATAAACCAAGTGTGAATAATTGAAAGTGGGTAAGGTTGTGACATCAGAGCCATTGAAATTTAATTCAAGAGGAAGTTCTCCATAGTAAATTTCCTCTCATTATCCAGCTGCTAGCATAGGCCGCCACTGATAAGCAAAGAGGCCTTGTGCAGTATCAGTGTTTTCACCATCTTATCGGCAAACATATAATCTTTATCTTTTTGATGAGGTGCTAGAATTACAAAGACTTGAGTAACCTGAGAAATGTGCCAGTTTTTTCATGGGTGTTTAGCTTCCCCTCAACTTTGGAAAAGAGGTCTGACACATTTTCTCCATTTTAGTAATGGAGAAAGATATAAAAATATATATGAAGACATGTATGTATAGCTTCTGAAATGTCCTTAGCTGAAATTGCAGTTTAAGAAAATAAAATTAAACATCATTAAAGTACATTCACTTGTAAAAATGATTCACATGTTTGGCTAGCGCTAAAATAACAAGGGATTAATAATGGCAGATTGAATGCTGGAATTACTGATAGTACTATACTAATCTTTTCAGCCTGATAATCTCTTCCAGATAATAGTCATTTTGTCCACAATTACAGTTGTTCATAATATAGATTTTTTGTTTGTTTGTTTTTGTTTTTTTAAAAATGTATTTTATTGATTTTTACAGAGGAAGGAAGAGGGGTAGAGAGTTAGAAACGTCGATGAGAGAGAAACAATGATCAGCTGCCTCCTGCACACTCCTTGCTGGGGATGTGCCTGCAACCAAGGCACATGCCCTTGACTGGAACTGAACCCAGGACCCTTCAGTCCACAGGCTGACGCTCTATCCACTGAGCCAAACCAGTTAGGGCCATAATATAGGTTTTTGATTTGATGGTCTGCAGGGTGCTACCAAATCCTACGCAAATGTGTTACTTAATCCAGACCCAACTATTGTTGAGCAGACATTAATTTTATTCCTTTTTTTTTTAGCTGCTATGATATTTTATTTTCAAAATAATATTGCAACTGAGTTGGAGCTATTTTAATTAAAATTGTATCTGGACTTTTTCTTAACATGTTTCCTACTTTTCTAATTATAGGTTTCATATACACTGGAGAAGTTGTACATCGAATGCTGACAGCCACACAGTACATAGCACCTTTAATGGCAAATTTTGATCCCAGTGTCTCCAGAAATTCAACAGTCAGATATTTTGATAATGGTATGTATTGATTAGCCTATTTTTTTTTTTACTGAATGCATACTTTTATTTATTTATTTATTTGGCTCTTCTTTTTTAAATTAAATCTTTATTGTTGAAAGTATTACATATGTTCCCTTTCTCCCCTCCCCAAATTGGTCCCTTCTAGCCTGCCCCCCACCCCGACCCCAAGCCTTCATGAATGCATACTTTTAAATGGTGATCATCAACTTTATATTAATGTTTATCTAACCTGGAGTAGTTTGCTTAGTTTTTGATAGATTGATTTATAAACTGCTCTGTGTAAATACCCTAAGATGACAAAGTTATACCATGACATTTAATATGCAGCATAAATATATAGTTAAATTCCACTCATTTTATTCATTCATTCGATTGTTCAACAAATGTTTAGTAAGACATATTAGACACTATAATAAATGAGTTGTTAAACCAAGCAAGTACATTTGATGCTATTTTCAGTAAGCCCCTGCTATTAGAAAAACTAAACAAGGATAATTTGTTCTGATCCTCAAGTAGAGGCAAGTGTCATAATACATTGATATTAAATTTTCAAAACTTAATAACTTTATATACCATAAGATGAAGACGCCTTTAAAAAATATAGGGTAGTGGGTAGTTAAAATACATGTAAGAAAATCTACTTTTCCTGCCCAGGCCAGTGTGGCTCCATTGGTTGAGCATTATCCCATGCCAGTTCATTCCCAGTCAGGCCACATGCCCAGGTAGTAGGAGGCACGCAAGAGGCAGCAGATTAATGTTTCTCTCTCACATTGACATTTCTTTCTCTCTCCCTCTCTCTTCCCCCTGTCTTGCTAATGATCAGAAACTTGATACATTTAAAAGCTCTACATTTTTATATCTTCCACTACATTTTGCTTTGGATATGACAATTTACACATTTTTATATTGTATATCCATTAACAAATTAACTTAGTTATGGTTATTTTTAACACTTTTGCCTTTTAACCTTTACACTAGAGTTATATGTGCTTTACCTGCCATCATCACAATATTGGAGTATTCTGGATTTAATTACATATTTACCATTACCATTGAGTTTTATGGTTTCATATAATTCTTTTTACTAATTAGCATAATTTTATTTCAACTCAAAGAACTCCCTTTAACGTTTCCTATGAGTCTGGTCTAGTGGTGATCAACTCCTTCAGCTTTTCTTTGTCTGGCAAACTCTTTATCTCTCCTTTAATTCCGAAGGTCAACTGTGCCTGATAGAATGCTCTTGGTTGGCCCTTTGACTTTCTCATCCCACTCACTCTGGCCTGCAAAGTTTCTACTGAAAAATCCAATGATAGCCTCATGCAGATTCCCTTCTAAGAAACAGATTGCTTTCCTTTGCTGCTTTTAAGTTTCTTTCTTTGTCTTTAAACTCTGATCATTTAATTATAATGTTTCCATGTGAGTCTCTTTTGATTCATCTTGTTTGGTATTGGGGGGCCCCCTAGATCTGGATGTCTGTTTTTGTTCCCAGGAAGGGAAATTTTTCAGCCTCTATTTCTTTGAATAAGATTTCTCCTCCTTTCTCTCTCCTTTATCCTTCTGAAATCCCTAGCATGTAAATATTGGTCCACTTGATAATGTCCTATATGTCCCTTAGCCTATCATCACTCCTTTCATTCGTTTTCCTTTTTGCTCTTCTGATTGGATGAATTCCACTGCCCTGTCTTCAAGAGTATCAGTCCTGTCTTCTACTTAATGTCACCTACTTCTGAACCCCTCTATTAAAATTTTCAGATCAGTTATTATATACTTCAGATACATGATTTCTCTTTAATAGTTTTGAATACTTTTTCTGTCTTTGGCTGAAATTCTCACTGTGCTCATGCATTGCTCTTCTGACCTCAGTGTTCATCGTTAGGACTTATTTTGAACTCATTTGTGTAAATCATTTACCTCCATTTCATTAACATCTGTCTCTGGAGATCTTGTTCTTTTATTTGAAACATATTTCCTTGTTTATTCATATTTCTTGGCTCTGTGTTGGTTTCTGCACATTAGATAAAATAGCCACCTCTTCCATTCTTGTCAGAGGGGTCTTGTGTAGGAGATGACCCTCATCCATCAGGCAGGCTGAAGCTCCTGGTTGCCTCTCAAACCCTTGTGGTTGTCTAAGACATCATCTTTGTTCTCAGTAGCTGAGAGTGTTCTAAGACCCATCAATGTCCTAAAGGGGAGATCAGTCAGCACCTAGATGCAAGCTGATGTGTTGCTACTCTCAGGCAGCAGCTGGGGAAGTCTGCAGTCAAACCCCTTCCAGGGAGAAACCGGGGGACAGGCATTTTTGCCTGCCCTCTCTGCACTGTGTCTGGAAGTTTAATCCTGGGAGTGCTTCTGCACCATTTTAAAACTTCTTTGTTTGCTCTAATCTCTGACTTGTAGATGCAAGCCCTGTTGGCTGTCAGAGCAAGGCGGTTTATTTTAGGTGCCAAACCTCGATGGCAGCTATAAAATTTGGGGCGCTCTACATAGACAGAGCTCCTTTGAGATAAATACTGGCAACTTGGTTTTACTGTTGGAGTGAGCTGCAGGGAGAAGGTGGAGCATTAGATGAATGCTACTTAGATGCTGGACCCTCATGCAGCAGCTTATAAAATATGTCGTCACATCCCTTTAATGGAAATACTGGGGGATGGGCATTTTTGCCTACTCTCCCCTCTGCTGAATCCTCAGGATGGAGAGGATAGCCATGGCCAGTGCACAGAGAGAAGCCTGTCTGCTACAAGCCTGTGGAGCTCAGGAATGCACATCCCATTGTCTATCACAGCTAGCAATCTGGGGGCCTGTCCCGCAGGTGATTGTACAAAACTGGGTGCCAGACTTGTGTGTCAGCTCCTTCCAGGGAGGTGCTGGTGACCTTGTTTTGTGGTTGTATGAGCCAAAGGGGGAAGGCAGGGGCACTGCCTCCTGGCTCTACTGGGCTCTAGAGAGGATCATAGTCAACACCTAGATATGTGCAGTTTCTTTTTTTAATTTTTTAAATAATCTTTTTCTTTATTGATTAAG